ACGGCTCAGCTGTATGGATTTCTGTCTGCCTAACAGCACTGACCCTATGTACATTCAATAACTGAGAGAAGTAGTTCCTCCACCTATTCAAAATGTTGTGGGAATCTGCAAGCAGATCACCATTCTCATACTTCACTAAGTTACTGCTAGGTTGGTAAGCCCTCTTAAAGTCATTTAGTCCTCTATACAGGTCTCTAATGTTCTTGTTCTTACTGTTCGTTTCAAGCTCATCAATTTTGTCTTTCAGATATTTCCTCTTTTTTTCTGAAATGCCTGCTGGTTTCACGTCTTATATTGTTCAGATTATCCCCATTTAACTCACTTGGATCCTGTAACCATTGAAATTTGGCCTGCTTTCTTTGACCTAATAACTTTGACCATCCTTCATCAAACCATGTCTTATGCTTCTTCAATTCATAATAACCTAGACTCTCTTTGGCAGACATTTTTATATTCTCTCTAATAGCTTCTCAAGCTTTATTAACATCCACCTCGGTTTACAAGTTTTCCAAAGCCACAAACCTATTTGATATATCAACACAACACTGCTCTTCACCCTCTACCTTATTTAATTTCTTGAGATTGAACCTCTCCATATGAACTCTGTGTGTTGTTTGTTTGCTCACTTCCTGTCTTTCCTTAACCTTTGCCACTACCAGGTACTGGTCAGTATCACAGTCTGCTGCCCTGAATAATTGGACATCAAGTACACTTGAGGGCCGTCTCCTATCTATCAAAATATGGTCAATTTGATTGTGTAATCTTCCCATCAGGAGATGTCCAAGTAAATTTATTGATGTTATGATGTGGGAACATTGTACTTTTGACAGTAAGATTTTTTGATGTGGCAAAGTTTACTACTCCAACTCCATTATTTTCACTAATTTCATTCAAACTCTCATTCCCAATCATTGGTTTGAAAATGTCTTCCCTACCTACTTTGGCATTGAAATCTCCTAACAAAATTTTCATAGGGTACTTCGGGAATTTATCAAATACATGTTCTAGTTCTTCACAGAATCTGTCCTTTATGTCATCAATTTTGT